ATTAAATTTTTAAAATAAAATTCAAAACTTGAGGCCAAATTTTTGTTTTTATTATAAATCTTATTCCCCAGCCAGCCTATATAAAAAAGGTGTGTGTGTGTGTGTGTGTGTGTTGTAACAGTGCTTCTGAGGGGCTGTGGGGTGTGTGTGAAGCATTGTGATGAGAGCCACCTTTTACTGGCTCCTGCTGATACGGGACACAGTTATTCCACACTTTAATGATCCATTTCTCTATAGTTATTATAGCCAAAGGCTCAAACACTGTATATCAGGTCATGCTGATCTTATTATTTAGCCTGTCTATGCAGGAGAAGAGGGAGGATTTGACAGGAACCTGGCTCATAACAACCTTAATGCTAACACTGAACAGCTTGTCATTAGTGTTATTAATCTCTGTTTTTAGAAGTGTCCACCACTGCCACCATCCATTTGAGTGTCAGCCTAAAGTGTCTACCTCCTTCTTATCTATCACCAGGGCAACAAGAACCTACATGAATGCTCCCTGCTCTGCCATCGCCTGCTTCCTTAGCTGCTGCCCATCTTCCAGTGTCCTGTAAATGTTCCAGTCTCGAGTTCTCCTCTCCTTCAGAGGAATAAGTGGCCACTATATCCTAGTTAGTCCCATCCATCTATTTTATCTGTCAATATCCAGGAGTACTTAGTGTTCCATTCATTAGTATAGGCAACAGAGATCCTACTGGCATAAGCTTCCTGGACTGGCTGTTCACAGGTTTGTCTCTTAATGATCCACACGGCTGGACGCTTGTGTGTACACAGAACTACATGCAAGCACTCAGCCTGCTCATGAAAATGTTACAAGTGAGGGAGCCGAAGAGAGGGCACAGAAGCCCCACTTCCCCCACAGACCTGGGTCCTCTATAAATCTTTGTGCACTTGATACTGAAGGAAGATTGTGACTCTGTTCAGCTGCACATGTCTACAAATCTCGCCATGACCAATATAGTGCTGTGCACTTACAAACAAACAAACAAACAAACAAACAAACAAACAAACAAACAAACAAACAAACAGAAGTCCTGATTAAGGCAAGAAGGCTGAATAAGGCCAGCTAAAGACATTTTGCTGCCTGAGGCAGAACAGCAAAAATAGCATCCTCTAGGAAGGCTTGTAGTTGTTTTAGCACAAGAGGAAGATAATCCAACACATCTCTCTTCCACTTCAGGGCAACAACCATACATACATACATACATACATACATACATACATACATACATACATACATACATACATACATACATACATACATACATACATACATACATACATACATACATACATACATACATACATACATGGTTTTTAGGATAAGATGACTCCCCTCACTCAGGTTCTTCTTCTTGAGAAGATCTGCAAGCATGTTTAGCCAGTGCATGGAAAATTTCTGGTCAGGGACTAACCATATGAATGTTTTTAGAGGAGCTTGTGTGCTTGAAAGCATTGGGAGGGGGACCAGCCCCTATACAATATTAACCCTCACGTCTGTAGGCAACTATTTGTGTAGCGTTCATGTGGTGAAGGCGTGCACAATGCCTTCTGTCTAGTCTGTTAGGCCATTCTACTCTGTATGTTCCTCTTTCATCCAGAGGCCGCCAGCAAGATGGCCCATGGCTGGAATTGCTCGAGGGCAACGTTAACCCAGGGATTGCATGGGCAGTGTCATTTTGGATCATTTGAAATAGCCGTGCACACGCACTTTTAGACCCTGAGTCAGTAATGCTCTTTGTATTTGCTTATGTGGTCAGTGGAGCTCATTTTTAGGCCAATGTGGGTATGACAGCATCTTCAGCAGATGCAGAAAAAAAAATACCTTTATTTTTTTGGCCTGCAGCTCCCAAGATAGCAACATGGCCAAAATCTCTAATTTTCATCTCTAATTCTTACGCTGTTGAAAATAAACAACCTTACATGCTTTTATTTTAACTCCGGGTATCTGGGAAGCATGGTTTGTGTCTGCCATTTAAGTTAGAGTGTTCCTGCCCCATGCCTGAGAGTCTTTGAGCCTGCCTCTCTTTTGCTGTTGCTTCCTTTTTTAAGCTGCCTTTCTTCCCTCTTCCAATTCCTGCTCTGAAGAAAAACACATGGAGGGGTAACTCAATAATATTGATCTATTGCTTTATTAATCTAGGAACAAAGCCACGAATCTTAAGTAAAAGTTTTGTTTCCTTTAACCAAGAGGCATTCTTTTCCAAGAGAAGAAATGACTCTGGGAAGATCTTTCCATGCTTTTTCATGCACTACAAAGGGAATGACCAAATGAAATCTCGCTAACACAAGCTACTGTTTTATGCACACTTATATGGGAATATGACCCATGTTTGCTTCTGAGCTGACATGCACAGAATAAAATGTGCAGCTAATGCACTCTCATCTGAGTCAACATCTTGGGTCAAAGAAATATGCTGCCTAGTCAAATGGAAAAGTATCTGGTTTTCTTTTATGTTTCAATGCTAGAACACTTACTTTTAAATTAATATGTGTTTACTTCTCCAGCAAACCTCAGCCTCGAAGCTCTCTATACCAATCCACAAGAGTCTGTGGAGTGGACTGGACAGAAATTCAGTGGGGCTGGTAGTGGTAAACCTCTCATGTGATATACAGTGGTGCCTCACTAGACAGTTACCCCGCATGACAGTTTTTTCGCTAGACATCGACTTTTTGCGATCGCTCTAGCGGTTCGCAAAACAGTGATTCCTATGGGGGAATTTCGCTGGACAATGTTTGGTCCCTGCTTCGCAAACCGATTTTCGCTAGATGACGATTTTGACAGTTCCCCCCGCGCTTGCAAAACAGCTGTTTTTGGGACCTAAGCTTCGCAAGACAGCGATTTAAACAGCTGATCGGCGGTTCACAAAGTGGCTTTCCTATGGCCGATCTTTGCTAGATAACGACGATTCTTCCCCATTGGAAGACATTAAACAGGTTTCAATGCATTCCAATGTGGAAATGCTTTTCGCTAGACAATGATTTCGCTAAACAGCGATTTCAGTGGAACGGATTATCATCATCTAGCTAGGCACCACTGTACTGTGAGAACCCCATAAACTGGAAGAAACCTGACAGCACGCAACAACAACCTGACGGCAGTATGGGGCAGTATATAAGCTGAAACAACAACAACAATGACAATCCATGGTTCAGCACTTTCTGTCTAAGCTATGCAAAGAACAACTACAGTTTGAGGGTTTATATGAAGAATAAAGTGACCACAGTGCAGCTAACAAGGTGAATTTGTGATTCATATTGATAGCAGCAATCACTAGTTTTGGTAATTTAAAAAATACTTTGTGTGTTGCAGATTTCTGCCTTGTTGTTCAACCACAAAAGCTTACACAAAATCTGTTGGCAGGATCCACCTGAGTAACAGGAATTGCATGCATAGTGGCAGATTGCTGTTGCTGAATGATTTGTGCTTTCAGAGTGCATGGCACTTTGTCATAATGTGCACCAGCCACACGCCTTTCGAAATTTTAAAACAAAGCCTTTAATTAGTGGCAAACTGTGGTCGCTCATGGCATTAATTCCACTCTGCATGTGTAACTGCTCCACAGGATTTCAGCCAATAGCTTGCAATAGAAGATAAAAGCTCCATGCAATCAAGGACTGGGGGAGCCCACACTATCTGTACTTTTTCAAAGGCAGACCTAAGAACTTTAGTTACTATTACCTTATGGTCTGAGTATTTAACTTTTTTCTTATGTTAGGTTAAACAGGAAACAGAAGAAGGACCCAGAGACATCATTTTTCAGGTTTTGAAATGTT